TTCCAAGAAGGAAGTAGCAATTCTAGGATAAATATTCTGACAACTCTGAAGGAATTTCCCTGCTGATAAAGGTGAATAACAGAAGGTCACTCTTTCCCTACAGTATGATTTCTGACAGTGTGCTGAGCTGAAAAGTGTATGTGCATCTTCCTAAAGCTTTAGTTTTTTGGGGGTTTTGGGGGTTTTTGGGGTTTTTTTTGGTTTTTTGGGGTTTTTGTTTGTTTTTGTTTTGTTTTGTTTTTGTTTTTTTTGTTTTGTTTTGTTTTTTGGGGTTTTGACTGAAAGAAAAAGCAAAAATGTTAAGAAAAGTGCAGAATATTTGATCTGTACACTGAATGTAAAATTGTCAGAAATGCAGTGTTCAAAGTTTGTAATGAACCAGTTGGCATGCATCATGTAGAAACCTGCTGTTCTGGTGTATCAAAAGATACAAGTGAGTGTATGTAATTACTAGATAGATAAACAATAAAATATCAATAATAACAATAATAATAATAGTACTGCTTGGTGAGACACACTGCTATGAAAATATGTTATTGTAGTTTTTGATTTAACTTCTCTAAACGATGCTGAAAGCTTGGGAACACCTCTAAAAAAAAGCTACAAGAATTACTAGAGTTAAAATGCCCCAAGGAAATTATCCATGACAAAGGTCAGACCATTAGCAAGCTGCCTATTAATAGAATCTGCACAAGGAAAACATTTCTGTTAGAAGACCAGTCTTTAATCTAGGAAAACGAAAGAGCTGATAAGAAATAGGGGCTAAAGTTGTTCAAATTTAAAGTAGTAATAAGAATAAACGTTTTAACAAGAGAGATCAGCAGTCATTGGAGCAATACCATGGAGGATATGGTTTTCAACTTTTTTTTATTAAGTTAATTTCTGAAATACTGGTTTTTTTTAGAGAACCTACACAGCTTTTCATCAAAGTTTGTTCTGGTAACAGTGTGCTTGCTTTTCTTCTTTTCCTTTCCCAGGCATCCACAAACAAAATGGACAAGTTCTAAGCACAAGTTCTTGATAGCTGAAATTCACTAAGTGCAGATGAACCCTTTTCTGAAAAGTTTAGCTGAACAGATCAGATTTTGGGATGTAGAAATTACTGAGTAGGGTCCTATGGTGTGGATACAGTATAATTGCATTTTACTAATGGTCTCTCCTTCTCCTCAAATGCATTAATATTTGGGGGGGAAGGAGGGTCTCTTTACTGACAAGGTACTCCCTGCTGTCCCTGTTGCAAAACTTCTCTCTGCTCCTTATTTCATATTACTTAGTCAGGAGGTTCTCTATTTGTTTTTGATACTTCCAGTGTGTTCTACACCACTGCCCTCTACCCCTTTTTTTTATTCTTTAAATTGAGTTTCATATTGTGACAGCTGTTTTTTCTGTGGTTGAACAGAAATTTTTCCAGCTAGAATGTCACTTCAAGATGAATATTTACTGTATTTGGAAGAGATTAGCTCTGGGTTAGTATAACTACAGTAATTTTGCCTATAAGTAGACTATTAAACTCCCAAGTTTTCTTTCCAAGGTGCATAATAAAGCAGAAATACAAATTTGGAAGTGAAGTGTAAATTAGATTTGAATGAGAATCAGGGCAGGTGGTAGAATTTTGACTAACTCCACTGAAATTTGGGTAACATGGAAAGCAGATTTCATTTGCAGCTGATGATTCAATAGGAACTCAGCTGCTGGCATCTGACCTTTTGTTTTGTACTGTCCCCCTCATTCTGAAGGCCCAGATAAAGTAACAGCAGGTACTTGGCCAGCATTCACAGGTTCTAGATTAGACTGTCCTTCCTTGTTGATCTTGTTTTAGTTATAAACTACTGACCTGATTTGCTTTCCTTCCTTCCTGATAAGATGCCTGTACAGTCTGTACCTGTGCTCATCATGTTTACACTGAAGGCAGGTGTACTTTATTGCCAAGATAAACTGATGTCAGGTTCTGTGACTCAGCAGGTCCAGGGGGTACCTTTGCTGCTAGGGCAGGGCAAGGAAGAGAGTTTTAGAAGTAGATAAGCAAAAAAACCTTTCATATCCATCATGATCTAGTGTTTATGTGTCAGTTGCCAGAAGAATAAGAGTTAAATGTTGAAGGAGTATGTAGTGCCATTACCACCTCAAAACCCAAAATATCACAGTTTCTTCACAGATATGAAGCAAATAAAAAGATCTTCTCAAGCTTTTCTTGATTTGTTTGTTCAAATTTATTTATGTAGGTGAAGCTGTGTGCTCTCATATATAGCCTTCCACTCACTCAGGTTTGAGTACACTCTGTGTTCATCATGTCTCACATGAATGCCTCACTGTAAAAAGATGAAATAACTGAGTGTAATTCCTATTTTTAATCTAGTTTGTCTTTAGTGCAATAAATGTTTAAACTTCCATATGATAGAAATTGATCTGATAAATGTAATTTTTCTGTAAGTGTGAAAAAATGTCTGAAATTCCATATGTAGTTAATACTCCAAACATGTGGAAATGAACACTAATCTCATTTATTATATTGATTTTTTGCTACAGAAAGGCCCATGGGCCTTGTACAGGTTTAGTCTTGCAAGCAGTTTCAAAATACCATGAGTTCTGCATGTATCTTTTTACACAGCCATTCTAAGATGGTGCTTCTTACTCTTGCAGTCCTTATCCATGAGCATTTAAAGAAATATAGCCAAAAATAATACAAATCCTTGAGCATTGTACTACTCAGGAGAGGTTGTACTGCTTTCCTTTTTGTCCTTGCTTGTTAAGTTTTCACTGAAAGATAATGCAACTTTGGTACTATTCTATTAAAGCCGGATGTGCTTTGCTAAAAAAGAAGTATTTTATAAGTTTGTTTTGCTGGGCTGTAGGTGGAAAGCACAGCTGAGATCACACTTCTCAAAATATCAGTTGATTGCTGTGTGGTACCTGTTTGTCTCTTTCCTGATTGGGCAGAGCTGTTGCTGGGCTGATACCATTTTGACCAAAATTAGAAAGTCAATATAAACGAGTCAAACTAGATTGCCTGCTTTTTTCAGTTCTCTCTTCTGATTCATCAGTTGTTTGCTTCAAATTTTTACAGCCTTTGTGAGTTGGGTGTTGTGCCAGCAAAGGTGAAAGCTCTTAGTGGTTAGTCATTAAGAATATTAATAAAAAATTGTTGTGATGACATTTAGAGCCTAACAAAAAATATGATGCCTAGTTAAAAAAAAAAAAAAAAGTGGAAGTGGGTCCTACAGAGTGATTTATTAAATACATGAATGTGAAAACCATTTCCTTACATAGGAGACTGCTGCTTCTCATGTTCAGGCATAGCACTCATCTTCCTGAGAGGATGTTACTGCCAGTGTCTTGTGGCAGAGGCTTAGGACCTGAAACTTACTGATGAAGGCAGGTATCAAATGAAGAGTTGCTGCCTAAACATCTTTTATACTTCAGTATTAGCTTGTTTAACAAGTTAGACTGAGCCTGGTTAACTTATGTTGCTAATACCAGGGAGGGTTAGAATATGTGTAAATATAATTATGATATTTGAACAAAACCAGTGGAATAATTGTTCAGTAAAATTCTAGGTTAGTGCAAGTACAGCAGGTTAGCAGCTAAAAGCAGATGTTTCTCTTGTACTTGAAGAAATGCTGTTACTTTACCTGCATCATTAAGCTAAAGCTACAGACTCTTTTTAAATGAGTAGATTTTGATGCAAGTGACAGAGGGAAATGTTTGAAGTAGTTTAAACTTGAGTTACTTTAGATTTTCAGAATTTTTTTTCTTGTCACATATTGGTGGGTAATAACCAGGCAGGGATGTTGTTGAATTGCCATTCAGTTATGATCCTCTAGTCTTGCCACTAAAAGGTTGTATCTCAGTATGTACAAAATGAAGGTCAGGCTAGAAAGTGCTTTAGGAGGAGAGCAACTTGCTTAAATCATGAGATCTCAAGATACCTTACAAAAATAGAAAGTAGGTCTCATTCAGCAATGATAAAAGTAAAAGGGTAGGAAGAGCATATAAAATCAGAAAAAAAACCCCAGCAGAGCACAATGTGAGGTGCAACTACAGAGGGACATAAAAAGAAGCAAAACTTTTTATAGTAAATTGAGACGACAGCAAGGAAATAATTTCTCTGGTGTTCAGAAGAAGGTGAGCATTACTGGCAGGTACTGTGGATAGTTAAGTGTGAAATGCCTTTTTTTTTTTTTTTTTTGCTTCTTTTTCTGAAATGGTTATGTATGACCAAATGAATAATCTCTACTTTAGCCTGGAGTCTTTTGTCACTAAAAAACAAACTGAAGCATATTAAATGTCATCAAACCAGCTGATGCAATTTTCCTTTTGGCATTTAAAAGGGGATCCAAGTCTCTGGGATTCTTGAAAAGTTATGAAGAATTGCAAGGTTGTAGGGTGCATGTTTTTAAAAGGAGAAAGAAGGAATTGAGGAATGACAGACCAGTGAACTTAAATTGTATTTCTGGTAAAAATTAGGAACAAATAAGTCAGCTATCTGTAAGCAGTTAGAATGAACAACAAAATGAATAAAATCTAATTTGGATTTAACAGTAGCAAATCAAGGGGAAGGAGTTTAACTTCTAAAATGGTTACCAGGCCTAGAAAAGGAAAGGTTGTGGTCTCTTCCTGTCACAGCTGACACTTTCTTGAAAGATTAGTAAATTCTGCTGATTTTTCTGATTAGTCTGGTTATATAAAGTGTGGTTTTAAGATGTTTTAAGATTACTGTGGGCTTGGTAAAAATAGATGACCTTTACTAAGTATATTGCATTAGTAATTACTCCAGTGGTATCTAGTTCTGTCAGATGTTTTTGATTTCTTCTGTAAATCAAATTTTGAAAATTGGTAGCATAAAAAATTATTTCTAGCTAGTGTGTTTGGCATTCCTTCAGTTGTTCTGGATGTGCTGTTATCTGAATTGGGAAGCAAATCAAGTATTATGTTCTTTTTAGGTAGGTGCCACCTTCTGATGTTGTCCATGTAACATGATTTGTTTATTTATTTTGTTACAGGATTTGGTTATCCGTATCATCTTCATTCTTGGGAATTTAACAGCAAGGAATGACCAGTCCCGGGAGCAATTTTTTAAAGAAAAAGAAAGTGTTAACACCTTGACATCATTATTCCAAACCTACTATGAACTTGATTTGAATGCACTGACATGGCACCAAGATAGAAAAGGAAAAAACCAACCAAAGTATCCTTCAGAAGCAGAAGATATTCTGATAAAACTGATCAGAGTGCTGGCCAACCTCTCCATTCACCCTAGAGTAGGTGCAGCTCTGGCAGTTGCCCATCCTCTTGTAGGATTACTTGTTACAATACTAGGTAATAACATTTATGTTGTGCTTGTTATGTTTGTTCAGCCTGTAAGGAGAGTTTAAGACTTTCCATTGCAAAGAAACCCCAAAGTCAACTGGCTGACATTCATAAACTGTTTTATGTAGGAGGCCTGTTTGAGAAGCATTGCTACTTTGGTACTGACTTCTCAGTATCTGGGGAAAGATGTTGTAGAAGTCTTTAATTCAGTGATCAGATTTGCAGATAGGATCATTAATGATAAGAAAACAAATTTTATTTTAAACACATCTCACTGAGAGTTAATATATAAGGAAAGTTTGTTCTTATCAAGTGCTATATATGTGTTTGGTGGTGGTTTGTTTTTTTTTAAAGGTTTGTATTTTTTGTGACTGTTTTGGATTGTTCCTGTTCTCTGCACCCATAACTTTCAGCTTCTTTAAAGAATTTTCTCTTACTTTTTTCCTTCTTTTTCAGTCTTCCAACCTTTTATCTCTTTCAGATGGAAGAGTGTCTCCCTCTAAATGGAGGATTAGGACTGCAGTTCCTTTACCACTTACTGATCCCCTTGTAAATCTAATTACAGACTAGGGCTGGTCTGTTTGGCCCATAACAGAGTTTAACTGTGACAAGATACATGTTAAACAGCTCGGTGTATTTTACTGTGTAATGAGAACATTAAATATTATGTTAAGGTAATCAACCTGATTGTACACTGTCTTAGCAGTCATGAGGGATGAGACAAGTCAGATGCACAACTTGGTTCTGTCTCATGGGTTGAAACTGTCTTAATGATTTTGTAAGTGCTTTTGACCTTCAGAGCTTCTCTCTGCTACCCTCTCCTCTTCTTGAGCACTTTATCAGTCAGTTTACTACAAAATGTTCTGTCTCCCTATGAACTTACCCCTCTTTTATTTCCTTCATTCTTGGCTTCTGAGGCCAGAGACCTCGGACAAAAAAGTCTTTTAGACTTTTTTACATGTTAGCATTCTGTCAGGAAATCTGAGAGAAAAGTCTTTCAAATATTGTTGAAGGGGTTTTTAACCAATTTTTCTCCATGTCTATCACACAGCCCTGTTTCTACATGTGGACTCTCCTCAGTGCCATCTTAAAACAGCAAAGAGGATTTGTAGAATGTCTTAACTAACTAAATTTTAAACTATTTTGCCTGAGTCACAATGATTTCTCTAAATTAATAATGGGGAAGAATGGTTTTGTATTGCCATTTTTGGATCAGGTGTTCCTGTTACCTTTTGCCATGTTACTCAACAACAGAAGGTTTGACTGTAGTAGTGGCCACATAAACTATTATTCACTTTTCTTCTGGGATCTAATGCACTGCAAATTTAGACACATGTGTGTGTTTATCTACATATGCATATGTTTTGGGGCTTTTTTACTCTCAGAATACAAGTCAGTCGATGATTGTGAAGAGTTGGTCATCAATGCTGCAAGAGCAATCAACAATTTGTCCTACTACCAAGTGGAGAATTCTGCAGTTCAGGAGAAGCAGCTACACATTGCTGAAAGTAAGGACTTTTAAACGAGTACTTTTTGTACAGCTTTTTGAAAGCAGAAACATTTTGACACAACAGAAAGACGCATAACATTTTGTGGTATTATCTTGCAGGAGTATAAAGTTCATAGGGCTAAAGTCTTTCAGTAATGATTTCCCATTTTTCTTGAAAACACTATGACTTATATGAAAATAGTTGGGTTGTTCACAAAACCCCTTCTTTTCCTCCACAAAGGAATTTGCTGTATTGTTTTCTGTTCAGCAGTTTTTGCCAGATTTGTTCAAAATCCATATACCTGAACCAAAATAATCACGTTGCTTTTTCCTTCTAATCACAGTATGGCAAGAGGGTTTTTTTCTTCTTGATAAAAACTTACTTTCTATACCTGTAAAATCAGATTTGTGTCTGTTTCTGGCTTGTAAATCCATTGGCAATATTGTATTGAGTGATTCTCTCCCCTCTTGACATGGTGGTCAATAATCAGTTATGTGTAGGAACTGCACTGACTTCTGAGACTATTGTGTTAATGTTGTACAAAAGGTAGAGAGGTTGTGTCTTGCACATCTCTCTGTCTCAATGGACCAAACATTGGAGAGAGACAGAACCTGAAGTTCACACAATAGGTAGAATGAGGAATAGGAAAAAATATCCTGGCTGTCAGCCCAGTGCCTGGACTGGTAGACATAATATTCTCTGTAGTTGACATTTCTGCTGTTCTGTCACAACTCATTTTATCACCTGTAAGCCAGCTGCCTCTTGTTGCTGGTTGAAAACAAATTACTTCTGTCCTGTGTGTTGGCATGTGGAGCCAGTCCCATCACCTTCCTGAACTGAGGAAAGAGGAAACCTTTTGATGCAAGACCAGCAGGCTTTCTGCTCCTGCAGGCATTTTGAGAATGCTTCCTGTTTGATATGAGTGGTGGACAAAATCCCTTCAGATGTCTTTTTAAGACAAATTCAAGATGTGTTCAGCATTGCAACATCCAGAGGCAGAAGTAATGAGGACAAAGCCAACCTCCCTTCTATATTTCTTTCTCTCTTCTGTCATATGAAGGGCTAAGGGTTGACTTATTTGAGTCCTTGGTGTGATGGACTGATTTTAGTGTTTTGCTTTGTATTCACAGAAGACTGATAAATGTAACTTTGGTAACATCACTCTCTGCCATGCACAGAAATCTTCCATGATTGTAGCTCTTCCTAGGAAGTGCTGAAGGTCTCATTCCTGCTGCTGAAGCACACACTGATCATATGTGAAACTGCTAAGCAGAAAAGCAGCAAGGAAGTGAATGCATCAGATTGGGACAATATTAAGTAGCTGTTGAGAGAACACTTGCTTGTTATAGCAGCACTGAGAGAAAACAGAGCTAATGTCAGAAAATAATTTCATCCCACCATAAGACCATCTGTTCAGGATCTAAATCAATTATATATTACATTATTATATTATATTATTTTTTAAATTATGTCTTCCTGGATTTTCATGAGCCCACTCGAAACTGCATAGCAAAACTGGCTCCCCTTATTACAACTGTGCTTAGACTGTCTCTATAACTCCTCACTTGTTCCTTTGCACTTAGTCCCATATTGGAGCTCTTTGTTTTATCTTTGAAGCCATACGCGATTTTGTTCTTGTTCTACCATCAGCTCAACCCCTTTGCTGCCACCAGACAGACAACTGCTCCCATTTTTTACATTTATAGCTGTTGCTGTTTGCATTCTGATATTCATTGATAAAAAAGAGCCATATATTTGTGATTTATCATTTTTATTTAATTTCTCTGCAAACCAACAGTGCTTTTAAAGCTGTTAATGAGTGACAATATGGATGCAGTTGTGGAGGCTGTCAGAGTCTTTGGCAATCTTTCCCAGCATCATGAGATCCGTGACTTCATCATGCAGAAAAAGAGTGAGTTACTTTTGCATTTGTAGGAGTTCTATTTTTGAATGTCCATGGTTCTAAAAAGAAAAAGTTGTTAATAAGCTGTCTCAGTTAAAGGGTAGAATCAATCTTCCCTGATGTTTTGCAAATTAGGCAAACATTAGAATCCAATAATAGTCATTATAAATACCATTTCATTTCAGTTTCATTAAAATGGAAATATTGGACTAGGAAAAATATACTTTCACAAAGGTACATATTACAAAAACTCTGTTTTTTCTGAAGTTTCAAATTTGAAATTTCCCTTTACTCAAATAGCTTTTCAGATCCTGCAGGTTAGTAGTGATATGATACAAAATTAAAATCCAATTAAAATCTCATTTAGGTTCATAATCTCAGATTTTTGATTCCCACAGTTGACAGCTTGTTAGCACTTTGTAACATGTGGCTTGGATTTGACTGCCTCAGCAAAGACCTCCTGTTTGCCTCGGGGTGAAGTAGGGTACAAGTCTTCTCAAGTTCTTTTGCTTTGTGTATCTGAAGAGCTTTGGGGAAAATGGCAACTCCTTGCTATCCACAGAAGGTGTGTCATCAGCTTAGACACCACTTCATTGTAAATTTTTTTTCTCTGCCTCTTCATGCTGAAAGTGAGGTGATCATGTCACAATATGCAACTCTTTATTCCAAGGGTGGCACATCACCATAAATGAAGGGAGAAGTGACTCTTAGGAGCTGGTTCCTGGTGAACAGTCTCAGTTAAAGGACTAAGTTTTCCAGCTGGAGAGACAATGGTGTTGGTGTGCCAAGCTCAGGCATTGCAGAGAGGCTTCCTCTGAGAGAGGCCAGCCCAGCTCCCACTCCCTGGCTGGGGCTGGCTGCACAGCTCCACAGTCAGTGCCACAGGTGCTGTGGATGCTGCTCCCACTGGAGCCCCGGGCTGGACTTGGTGCAGTCTGGGACAACCCTGCACTCACAGGGGAAAGAACTTCCCCCTCTGAGTGCCAGATGCCAAATCCTTGCCATTTCTGCTGACTCTGGGATGGAAAGGGAGGTGATACTTTTAAGAAATAAGCTTCAATTCAGTTTGGTCAACTTCTGATGGGATTTCCACATTTCTTTGGTGTATTTTTATTACTAGAATTTCTGGTTTGTTGTTTTGAAGGAACTGGTGTTCAGCATAATGTTGCTCTGTCATGTGCCTCCTCTACAAATGTCACAGTAATATGCTACAAGGGTGAATTTTTGGATAGGGTAGCCTGCATTTGACTGCTTTCTAATAAGTGTGTTGTAATGCCACTTGTATGGTAAATCCATCTTCCTGGTATTGTTTCCTTTTTACAATCCAGTATACAAGTTTGTGATTGCTTTGCTGGATTCCAAGGACCGAGAGGTCTGTTTTCCTGCCTGTGGAGTTCTGCTCAATCTCACAGTAGATGAGAACAAACGAGCTTTTCTCATGGAAGAAGGAGGAATTGAAAAGTAAGTTCCTGATTGTGCTTGAGAAAAGTAATTTTGAGTAGTTTGGCCAAAAAGTTTTAATTGGATTTTTTTTTTTCTGGGGCCAGTAGCTTGTAATAAAGATGCCAGCATAGTAGATACTTAGTATCTAAAGTTCTTTGAGAACCAGCCTTTCATAAGAGCCAAACCCTACAGAAAAGTCTCCCAAACACCCTCTGTGATCTACACAGCAGAGAGTACCATAGAAGAAAGCAACTAAAGCCTGGCTTTGCAGCAGCTGCTTGAGCTTGGCTTAACTGGGTCCTAGGTGGGCTACAGTGAACAGCAGGGTCAGTGTGCATCTGAGGCAGGTGTGAAGGTACTTCAGGAAATTACAAACCAGATGGTCCCTTGCAATTTTTGTAACCACTTGGTTCTGTAGGGAAAACTACCTGATGTAGCCAAGCTCTGCAGGGAACAACTCCTGGGTCTCCTCTCTCTGGGACTTCCAAGTTAAGGGCCCTGTAACATTGTAAGGGATGTTAGACCTTGAAAAAGCACCGTGGATGCAACACTTGTGGCTTTGATGTTCAGATAATAGCGGATCCAGCTTAATTGGAGCAACATGAAAGATCATGTTCCTGTGCTTGTAAAGCAGTTGGTACAGCCCACAGTTATGAAACAATATGCCTGACTTTGAAATGCTTTCCTGTTCATACATCATATAATTACTTTTTTATACACTGTAAACAATGCATAGTCTTCTCATCCTTCCTTCCCACGTTCTAGTTAACTTACAATATAAAGCTGGAAAAGGAGAATAAAAAGAAGTTGCTGGCAAATTGAATAATAAATGTGAGAAATTTCTATAATATAGAATATTCTGTAGCCTATAGAGCCACATAAATTCAGAATTTTCTATACTGTGTCTGAAAATTTGTGAGGGAAGGAACAAAAAACAGCCTGGAATGAATCTAGAGAATTTGGAAGTGATTGTTAAGGAGATCATCCTGACAGTGCCAAAGCAGCTCTAATTTTTTGGAACTGAGGTTATTGTACCACTATATAGTTGCCCAAAGAAAATAGGGAATTAGTCTTTTCAGAGAGTTACATTTTAAAAAAATTAGGGCAAGTTTTTTTGGCTATTCATTAGATGCCTCCTGTTTTTCCACAATGACTGCCTTCAGAGAGGAGGAAAAAAGCAAACCTCTTTTTGGGTGGTCTTCAATGACTGATATTTCCAGCCATACTTGAATATAGTAGTTATCCTTTACTATTCAGCAGATTATAAATCTCTCTGTGAACTGTAGAAGTGAGGGAAGGAGGGGTTCCTAAGGCTGAAGAAGAGAACAGCAGTGAAAGATTACTCTCACTTAAGGGACACCTTAGTAAAACAGGCATTTCTGAGAGGAAATGCAAGAATGGGTGAGATCGACAAAATTGTGAGGCTTCACTGACTGTGAAAGGTAATTCTTTGATCATGGAAATAGCAGATTCCTTTGGATTTGTTTTTTTGGTGAGATGATCTGATGTGTAGTAAGATGGATGTTCTGACTGAAGCTTTTTCTGCATTCCTCACCACCTTTTCCAGATGAATCATTGGTGCCTGATAAAGTTTGGCTTGGTTTGCAATCTCTGCTCTAGTGGTAGTCACAGATTTGGGACAGTCACATACTGTAATGAAATTTGATGGAATTTTAGTGTCCTTGAAATGGTTACATTTGCAAAGTATGTGAGTGAAATTGGTCATTTGGGTTAGAAAGTTACAGAGGGTGGGCAGCCTGCAGGCAGGCAGACACATGTGTAGACAAAAAGCATGTCCACATGCTTGGGGAACTATACTTAATAAAAAGGGGGAAGTTACTGAGGAAGAAAGTAGCATCTGATGTTTATTAACATAGAATTTTCCTGCAAACTTCCACGGAGCTTGCTTACATTTCTAGACTGCCAGATTTTCAAGAGCTCAGGAGTAAATTCCATGGAACAAAGCACTGGTTTTGTTTGGTACCCACAGGTTGATTGACTGCTTACAAGACTTTGGGCCAGCAGACTGGCAGCTCTCATGTTTGATCTGCAAAACCCTGTGGAACTACAGCGAGAACACAGCGAGCGCGGCCTCCTGCTTTGGAGGGAACACCAACACCCTGCTGATGCTGCTCATAGCACTTCTGGGTGAGACTCCCAGCCTTGGGCTCTTTTCCTCAATAAAAGACACAGAAGGAGCAAAATCAATGCAGGATGAGTTTGGGTGGGAAGTCTGTGCTGCAGCTTTCAGTGGCTGGCCAGTGTGGGCTGTGCAGCAGCACAGGGGTCCCTGTGCAGCACACGCTGGGCTCCCTGGGGATTGTGCCATTTCTGGGGTGCAGCGGGCTGACTTTCCTGCCTGGCCACCTTTCTTGTCTCTCCATGGTCTCCTTGTGGGCAAGGACAACATCCTGACAATTTCTCATCTGTTCCCTAAGGCCAGGAAAGGTGTGCTCATTGCTTCACAAGACTGAAAGGTTAATGTAAAGACCTTGATTTGCTTACCCAGTGGCATCTTTTCATCTGGGCATTTACTTTTGCTTCAAATTTTACATAGTTCAGTGGCTGTGTAATAGTCCTGCAGTCGGTGTATGTAATTTTCCTCCTTTAGTTTTTGAGCACTGCTTTGCTTATGATTTTATTTTGGGTAGATCACTTGCAATTATCTTCAAAAAATCTTTAAAATATAAATCAAATTGAAGGAAACTAACTATATGTGATATGATTTTAATTGGAAATTGATTAAAGATGTATACTTACTGTCAGACCCAGACAGAACGTGAGATCTCACAGTCTCTTTCATTGTAGACAATCAGAAAAGTGGGTGGATTTGTGAGGATTTTTTTCCAGTTACAGCAGAATTACTGATATTCACTGCTGTAATAGTTCCTTGTATTACATTCCTTGCTATGATGGACTTTATCTTAATGTGTGCAGTAATTCCATCTATATATCTGAAAATAGCAGTGTTTCAAGGTTATTGCTGCACTTTTCAACATTCTGCAAGAGATCTGCAAACTTTACAGCCACAATCATGCTTGAATTTTCTGGCACACATAGAGAGGTATATATATCTTTGTTTTAGAAAGTACATGCTTGTGTTTTCCTCTGCATTTAACACTCCTTATTGAAGCAATTGATTTGACTGCAAAGTCCAGGCTGGATAGCAGTTGTAACTCTCAGTGAACAGTATAACTTTCATCAGCTGGAAGTTTGTGTACAATTGCAATTGCAGTTACAGTTGTGATTGCAATGCTGCTGTAATGGTAATTAATTAGGAACAGGTTAGAATTAAATCAGAAGGCCAGTCATTCTTCACACTGTAGTATGAAGAGGAGCTGTAGAAAAAGCACATCTTATTCATTGGATCTGGTTCCTCTGTGTGCAGAGAGCCAACAAATCTTAGTAATAGCAGCTGGTTGATATTGTGTTGCATCTTCCTCCTCCCATTGTGTCCAGTAACAGCCTTGAACCGTCATTGCTCTGATTCTATCATTCAGGAAGCAGGAGGCAACTGCTGACAGCCAGTGAACTGTACTTGAGCGTCAGCACACCCTCAGGAAGCGGAAAAAGTGGAGCATGGCACAGCAGACACCTCTCTTCACCTGCTGTGCTTGGCCTCCTCCCCTTTATTTTTCCCTTCCCCATCTGGCACAGGATGACAAAAGATACAGGGAAGCAAAAGGGAATGGAAGTGGCCTGGAAAGATGTTGTGCCTAAGAGAAAGGCTGGACAAAGGGCACTATTTGTTTTTCTTTCTCCCTGCCTGATCCCAGCAGCCTGGGATGCAGTGGCCCTGCTTTCCAATGGCACTTGTCATTCACCTTCTTTCAGCTGCTTGACTTTCATGTCACTCTGCTGGCTCAGAGCTCCTGGAGGCTGCTGTTCCCAGGCCCCTGGCAGCAGCTTTGCCTTGGCCCAGGCCCTCACAGGCAGCGATGGAGATGAGCTTCTGTCTTGGGAACATTCTTCTCTTTGGTCATTCACTGAAAATAAAGTTTCTCCCTCTCCCTCCAGACTTTTTCTTATGCTGACTTTTACCTCCACTCTCAATTCCAGGAGGTTATTTTGGAATCTCAGTCCATGTGAACTCTTACCTGACATGACAGAGCTTCCAGGGCTGCCAGCCCCTGTCTTGCTGGTGTTTCAAGGATGGGCAGCCCTTGCAGACTGCAGGAGTCAGCACTCCAGGCTCCAGTTTCCCCCACAGTATGCAGGCCCACTGTGTTTGTCTTGTTCCTGGGCTTGCAGCCAGCACATATGCTCTTTGGCCAGGACCCAATATTGCTGGTTTTTGAGGAGAGTCGTGGGAAAATTAAATTATCTGAGGATGCACAGCTTGCATGCGGAACACTGATCCTCGCTGATCCACAGCGTTACTCACGTTCTGCTTTGGGAAATTTACTGCTTCAGTCCAACACTTCAGCTTTGAACTGCTTCTGACCCTTGTTCTTGTAGGCTGGAATTCTCGACCTCAGTGATTCCATAAATATTCAGTCGACTTCTGGGGAGCACAGCTGTCTAATAAAAGGGAGAAATGCCTCTCAGTCTGTGTTTGAACAGAGTTAATTTGGGTAGAAAAAAGCAGGAGTAGGCAAGGCAATTCTCCTTGAAAACAAATCCCATAATCCCTTATTTTCCACTTCAGGGTCTCTGGCTTCTCTGCTGCTGAGATTGATTTTAGGTATGTTGGGTTACTGTGCCATTGACAGGACAAGAGCTAATGGGCACAGGTTGCAATAAGACAAAATTCTAATTAAGCATTAGGAAAAGAGATTTCCATTGTAGCAGGAGTTAAGCACTGGAACAGGCTGCTGCCCTAGAAGGTGTTCAGTACTCAACACAGACTAGAGCAAGCTGGTGACTCTGCTCCAGAGGATTTTTCCAACCTAAATTATCCTGTGACATCATCAAATATAGATTTGATGTCAGAGGCTGGATTTTATCTCTGATTACAAGCTTTCTTCCTGCAGAGGTATGACATCTTTCTTGAAAGAATGGGTGTTCTTTTCCTCTTTATTTTATTACGAAAAGACTCTAAATGTCATCTCCTTACGCAGAACCCCTTTTGGAATCTTTCTCACCATCAGCCTCTGTTTAATTTTGGTAGTTGCAGTGTAGTGGCAGAGGATCCACTTGTTTGCAGTTGCTGGTAGCTTTGTGTGAGCTGGAAATGACACACAGGAATGTCATTTTCTCCTTCATACCTGTCTCAGCTCAGGCCATCTGATCTGCACAGGCACCTTGGCATGCTTTTGGATGGGAGTAACTGCTCTTGGAGCATCTCTTTTCTACATAAAGTTTGATTCAAAATGTGGGTAACTGAAGTTTCTCTTTAGCCCCAAGTTGCTTTTACCGGCTGTGACTGTGCAATTAGCTCCCTTAAAGAGTTATTTATTTAACACATTGTGAATCTGGTGCTTTTTCATAGTGTAGGCCAAGGATTAAGTATTGCCCATTTGGAGCAGGATTCTACCTTCATATTAGGTTTGTTTGTGGCCTAAATCCTATCAAATATCCTTCTGTTAAACTGTGTGAAAACATTCAGCATTATCAGTTGTGTTTGTGGATTCCTGATTCAGGAGAATGCTTCTGGTTGCAGACTGATTTGTATTTTCTCTAAGAGTTTGTCTCTTTGCCACATCCAGTGCTAAGCAAAATGGAAGGGGAAAAAATGACTGATGACTTCCTTTCATTCCTAACATTGTCTTGAATAAAGACTGTCCTGTTGTTTTATTTTTGAAATCTGTGAGGAAGGGAGGGCATCAGTAAATCCAGTAACCAGTGTGGTTCAAGTTCCTTCAGTGTGAGAGTAGGTAGAGTTTGAAAGAGTCTCCAGATTAGCAGAGCAATTTGGGACAGGAAAAACATAGTTGTAGTTAGATGAATGGATTGCTTACCTCAGCAAAATTGCTGTGGGCAATATTAAACCCTGGGTACTTTCCAGACTGACAGTCACAATAAATGATCAGTCTCAGAGACAGTTTTTGTCTCAGAGACACCCGTGAGCTGTGAGAATAAAAGAACTTGCAGTACCATTTTTACTTTTCTACTGACCTTACCATCTTTTATTTTCAATTAAATCTAAGACCTCAGACAGTGATGCTTAACTTATCTCAAGTGCAGTTGTTTTTAAGCCATCAGCATACACAGCTGGTAAGCTGCATGTGTCACAAAATATGTAGTTGAATGTATTTTTATTTGAAACTGATGACAGTATTTCCTTGATTACAGATGAAGAGGTAGAGTTGGAGTGCAGCCTTGACAAAGATATAAAGGACTGCCAAAGAATATATTGGGAAAGAGAGTTCAAACCCGTGGCAGCAAAACTTCTTGACAGAATTCAAAGCCATCACTCTTCCAGCTGAGTCTATCACTCCATTTTAATCAGTCGGGGTGTTTTTATCAGGTAAACTCTGTATATTTCTAATATACCTGTGCATTGCCAGTGGTAAGCTTGTTGGAGAGCATGACTATTCTAAAAAAAGTCAGAAAAGCCTGGCATTTATATACTGGATGCTATCTTCTGAAGAGCTTGTATGAAATCTTTGCATGTGTAATTATTTTTTACAATATACCTGAGCTGATGAAGCAGCTGTTCAGTGTGACTTGTCTAGTAATTGCATTGTTTCTTCACTGGAAAAATACTTGCTGAACTTCTAATTTTTGAAAAGTAAGTTATGAGTGAGTACTTGGACCTCTGTGGTACCAAAAATGTTGTGCAAACGAATGTTATGTGACAGGAGCCACATCTCACCTACAGACCTTGACACACTTTTACCTTAAGGAGCTTCTGTGACAGAGTAACCTGGTGCTGTTGGGGCATTGTCCTGTGCTCCTTCATGAGCTTCACTCTTCAGATCGAACACTGTTGGTGGTCAGGGAAAGTCACCCCCTTTTCCTTCTGACTGGGGGGTAGGGTCTAGGGTATCCCAGCTAACCCAGCTCCTGCCTTGATGCTGGTGGGATGTAGGCCCAGCTGTGCTGGTCTTTCTTGAATTGGGACTTTCCATCTTTAGGCAAAACACCCATATCCCTGATGTCAGAGAAGATTTTACCTTCTTTCAATTGGTCCCACACTCCCAGGAGCTGCCTGTGTGCCTCTACTTCTCAGACTTCTTGGCCAGCTGTCTCCCCTGAACCTGTGTCTCCATCTGTGGGGCCATAACAGCCTCTTTCTCCCTGTTCCTCCTTCCTGCTGCTGCCTTGTTTATTGCTCAGTTTCATCCTTCCAGCATGTAAAAGTCACTGTAGGCCATGGATTAGCGCAGCAGGTGCATCGCTGGCCTCCAGCGTTCACAGCCCAGTTGGCCACAGGGAGCTGCACAGCCCTGACCCATTTCTCTCTTTGCTGACCTCAGATTACTGGGAATGAACAGCTGGGCAGGAGCTGCCAGGCTCCTGCTCCCGTGGGCCAGCAGCATCACACTGGGCCCTGCAGCAGGAGCTGCTCCAGCCTGGCGGTGCTGGGAGAGGCTGGAGAAATTTGTTGCGAGGCAGGGATTCATAGCTCCTCCCTCAGTGGCACTGCTCTCTCTGCCTTTGGTAGTGCCCAGACCTCTGCTTCCAGGGGAGGAGAGAGAGGCTGGGAAGTAGCACCATGGTAGAAGGGCAGCAAGACTTCTTTCCTAGTTTAGATCCCTGCTTTTATGGGGCAGGGAAAGGGAGATTTCATGGTCCAGGTTTTGGGAGTGGTGAGGAGAAAACTTCAGTGAAAGTGATAAAATTTGCTCCATTCTTTGTGTCTCAGCTGTTCAGGTGTTACTTGTGCCCAGCAAGGCTCAGCCCTGCTTTGGGAGCTTGTGTAGTGGCGGCCTCTGTCATGGAGGCTGATCCACAGGAGAGAAGTGCTTGGCATTCCGTGTGGTTTGGCTCCAACAACAGCTCTGCTCAGCTCAAAAATATCTCAATTATCATCCCTTCTTTTGCCATTTTAATTTTAGCTGAAGTTGAAGGGAAGATAAATGGTTTCAATGTCCCATTTGTTTCTGGGAGACAAGAATGGATTTGCTTTGAGAGAGTATTAAAGAAAGGATGCTGGGTAAGTAGTCCCTGTGGGGAAGAAGCTGGAGGCATTTGTTCCTGGCATTTGTGTCACAGCAAGGCAGGCAAACATCCGGCTGTGCAGGGCAGGGTGGGGGCACTGGAAAAGGCCCCTGTGGCTAAGCCCTGTTAGGAGGACTAATCAGAATTGACAAGGGCTGAATCTTAGTCAGAAGGCAGCTGATACTGATGGCTGGCTCAAGTCAAGGTGGTGTTTGGGCAATTAAGATTTGTTCAAATACAACACTAATTCCGTCAGCTACTGCTAATCAAACTGTAACCAGGAGCCTCAAGTACTGTGTCTGCAGCTGGGCAGAGCTGGGGATCCTGGGGCAGCCACCATGTGTGAGCTCTGGCCTTTGGACAGGAAGAGGCACATTCACAGGAGCTGGATTGAGAAGAGAGGGTGGCACAGGACTCTTGAGCACCCCTCCTGTCTACCAGCCTCTGTCTTTCTCTGCAGAAAAACCTGTGAGTAGTAAGAAGCAGCCCCAGAATGCTGGATTTCAGGTCTGTTCTTATACCATTTGGGTAGGTATCTCTGCCACAGACCTCAGTGCAGCAGCTCTCTGGTGTCCAGGAGCCCATTCCTGTTCTCCCTTGGGGAGAGCTGCCAGCACCACAGCTGAGAGGCTGCTGCACTCCACAGCCATGGGCTGGGGCTCTCCTGGAGCTGCCCAGGAGTACTGGGCAGGGAGTTGGGATTGCCTGCAGGTTGTGGCTTCTGCTCTGATGGCAGCTGTGACCACATGAAGCCACTCACACACAGATCCACTGCAGTGTTTACCGCTTGAAAAGTGAGAGGGCACTTGGATGTGGCTGGAGAGATGGGATGGAAATGGCCAGTTTAGGTTTCTTGGAAAAATTCATGTCTACCTTTGACCTCAGAAAGCACCTGGAGACTCAAGTGCTGCAGGAACTGTTCACAGACTGGAAAGGCCCAGCTCAGCTGTACAATGCCCTTAAGACAGGAAAGTTTTGCTCTGCTTTTGGAACATCAAAAATCCTGTATTTTCAGTTAAGAGGAAGCACCAGATGCTTCCTGTTAGTCACAATTTTTGACAGTTTATTAATCTTTCTCCCCTAGATCTTTTTAGATATTTTAGCTTCTTGGACTGTAAACTTAAAACTGTTCTCAGAAGGTTCTGTAGAAAAAGAAACCAGTCTGAGCTGAAATCCAGGCCAGGGGACAGAAATTAGACTGCTTATGGGCTTGGGAAAATCCATTTCACAGAATCACAGAAAATCATAGAAGCAGCTGAGTTGGAAAGGACCCATCAGCATAATCGAGTCCCAGTCCTGGCCCTGCACCAGACACCCCAGGAATCACACCTTGTGCCTGAGATAGCTTTGTCCAAATGGGTGAAAATACCAGCAGTACAGAAGAGGTGCTCCCACTACAGTTAGTGAAGCTCTAGCTCTGTTTTTAAACTTTTCCTCCCACCATTTCAGACTCAGTTAAAAAATTCATGGCTCATGATTTTAACTGTTTGCTCAGTTACTGTTTCAAACATTTTAAATGGTCTCACACCCAGTAAGAACAGAAGCTTAAAGTTAAACCACACAAAAACGCCAAGAGAAAAAGTTGTTACCTTTATTTCAAAAATACCAGTAATACTGACAGATTTAAAAAGCAATTCACACTCATACAAAAGTATTCATGTGTTCTCCAAAACCACTGTATATTAAACGTCAGCATTTTAATCACGTTTTGATTTACTAAAAATAGATGTTTTTTAGCCTAGTTATTTAAGCAACTGCAAAAATCATTAAGACCAGCGTTGGGCATGTAATACAGTAGGACTGTTTGGCAGTCTAGAACAACATTCCCACACCTTTTCCTAGCTCCGTCTTGGTTCATCCATGAAAAGGAGGACAAGAAGCTACTTTGTGTAGGTAGATCTCTAAGAAGCTTTGAGGACTCCAGTCCCCTTCTTTCCATAGGAAGACCATTGCACTTTGGAGCTCACGAAATAATGCTGAACAAACATCCTGTTTTTAAGGCTAAACTAGTTGAGAAAATTGACTGCTATCTTTCAAATATCAGTGTGGACAGAAGAGGTTTAGTTCTGATTAAACGGGGAATCTAAATAACAAGGCTTTTTTGAAACCACACACAATAAAGGCTCAGACAATAGCAGTGCTCACTTTCACTTCTAGCTCAACTGGAACAGCCTGGGTCTGTTCACTCCACCTGCACAAATAGCAGCATCAAGATTTTCTAGAATTATTCTCGTAGGGAAAGCAAATGCCATCAAGTCCCAGTTCTTTTCACACTCTGACTCCCGCAGTATTTGCCTTAACACAAGATCTATGTATCTATGGTTTGCTATATTGCCACAAGTTCAGAGAATGTCCCGGGCTGTCTAAAGCCAAAATACCATGAGCAGGCAGCACTTCTGCACAACCCTGTCTGTCAACTGCCAAGCGTTCGCTGCCCAGCGGCAGCAATGATATTCCAAACATGGAAATAGCTGAAACTAAAGGAGTTATGGCACAATGGGCATCTTAACTTATAGCTACTGTTGGTCCTGAGGCTTCGTATCTTCCTCTGCCATACTGCAGCTGCAGAACATTCCAACGTCGACAGGCAGCCAGAGACATCAGGTCATATAGCGAGTAATAGCTCTCAGAGCATAAAGTAGTTCGGCTTGCATCCGAGCTTCTACCAGAAGCAAATTTACATGGACCTGCAGAGAGAGAAGAAGTTCTGCTTTAGCACTGAGCTCACCGCCACACCTGCAGCCACAGGAAGTCTGGGGGCTGTGGGCACTGTGCTGTGCAGCAGCAGCAGGGGAGCACTGCCCGTGTCACAGCCAGACCTCGCTGTGGAGCACACTGAGGGGGGCAGAAGAACCAATGCCACACCCTGTGACACTGTGGCACAGTCTGGCACTGGCCCATGGGCACACTTATGTAGGGCCAGGGCCATAGGAAGAGGAAATCATCCTTTAGCAGACCAGCTGGTTTAGCTGGAAATAACAGACAAGCTTTCAAGCACACAAGCCCTTCCTTCTCTGGCAGCACAATATGCACAGCTTGTTCAGTTTCAGTGAGGCTAATGACTAAAGGCAGAAGGGCAGTGAGTACCTGTGGAGCAGAAGGGGTGATAGCAAAGGCAGAGGTGATAAGGACATTTGTCCCTGGGGACTGAGAGAGAAACACACAGGCAGCTTCCACCTGAACAACACAGAGTGGTTGGCAAAGGTGAAGCACCAGAAAAACTCTCAAGTGTGATAAACCCTCTATCTCTCCTGACACACAGGTGTTCAGCTAGCTACTGGAGCTAAGAATTTTAGTTCCCCACATCATCTCCTCAATGCCTTTACTGCATTTCTTTGAGGATGAAATCAGAAACTTGTGGGGGGAAGGGTGTGAAAGTATTTTTTCACTGACAGCAGGTTGCTGTGAGTTTGCTCTGGCATGTAAGGGCTGTGTGTGGTTTCATTTGCATGATCTCTGTGAGAATGTGTGGTTATTGCATTCAGTGACACATATGTGAATGAGTCTTGGCTTTTGATGGCTATGGAGATGCAAAATTTTGGGCTTTAAAGAGGGATTTGTGTGCTTGGAAAGCTCATCTATCACAGTCAGTCTAACCAAAACATAGGCAGTGTTTTGCTTGAACATTAAATCATTGTAGTTACAGGACCCTTCTTTAAGAGGTTTTATCAAGAATTAGAGCCTTTAATGATATGAGCATTAATGATTTCTGCATCTTTATGTTTCAGCATTGACTTTAAGTGAGGCCAAGAAATACCTTTTCAAAGAAAAACTGAAGGACATAAACTTAATGGATTCAATATCTGGGAGTTAATAACAGGAAATGGGAGGTGTAATTCAGGCTGTAACCCAGCAGCAGAGCTTTTAGGCTTTGATAAAAAAACTCTTTTGGAGCTATCCATGCCAGAAGGACCAGGGGACTGGAAAGAGCCTGGGCCAGCCAGAGAGCTGTTCCAAGTCTGCTGCCAAGGGATGAATGGACTGTGTACCACTTTGCTGCCTCTCGGGGATACAGGCAGTACTGACTGCAGTTGAGGTGAAGCTGTACCATTGTCATGTCTAACCCCCTGTACTGCTCAGAACTTGCCCAGTCTATGTCAGCTGTTACCCAGCACACAGGCATGAGGAAAGGCGAGATTATTTCAGCCCAGGAACACACCACTTCCCAATGACTTGACTGTGAGCAGAACCCCAGGAGCACCAGCTAAAGCTTAAGCTGTGGCTGTCAGGGAGACACTGATGTGGGGCTGTCCCTCAGCACACACACCAACTGTACCTTCTCAGAGTGTTCAAACTGTCTCCAGAAGCTATCATACATTCTTTTTGTGGTCTTTTCAGGAGTGCAAACCACAGTCTTGATATAAACTTTAAAGCTGCGGTCCAACAACTGATTAATTTCACCATAGTCGTAATCATCGTATCTGTTTGGAATTGAAAGAAAAACACTTTCATTTTCAAGCAGCAGTTATTTCACTTGCATTGTTTCTAAGTTCCTATGGCAAAACAAATTATTGGGTAAGTGTAGCACTAGTGGCCCTCCCCCATAAGCAAAAATATGTTTAGAAGTATATGCATGTTTGCTTAATAAATAGTTCTGGTTCAACCTGAGAAAGAAATGCCAATGTGTTTAGAATAAAAAGAGTAAAACTGACCTTATTCCAAACATACAATGAATATAGTTCCAAATAGCTCGTCTTAGCATTGAGGTATCCACATCTTTGTGCATGGCCATTGTGTTGTAAGTCAGATTATAAGCAATATGAAACTTCTCATCAAGTAGTTGTCCCACATCTGGATAAAGACGATTAACCAAGGAATAACCATGGTCTTCCCAGGAATAATCCTTAGAATAAGTAAAAATGCAGAATGAAGCATTTCAGAAATAAACTTGTGAAGAACCAGAGTTTTAGTATAGTAAAGATCCCAGGGCAGATAATCCACTGGGGGTAGGGGTCATTCATTTGCTGGCTTGATTTAAGCCTCACCCACGGGGCAGTGAGAACACAGCCATTTCCAGGTTTGGTATCTGGCACAGGTTGTTCCCTGAGCCCCCTGATGGCAGCCCCCAGCCTCTTACCTGAACACGAAAGGTGGGCACGTGCATTCCGTGTCGGGAGAAGTCTTTGTAACCATAGCTGGTGTCCTCAAAGTGCCGAGACACATCTCTTGTTGCTGCAGATTCTTCATCTTCTGTTAATGTCAAACAGAATTGCACACAATTTGGATAGAACAAATTGGAAGTGTATGAGCAAAACTCCTGCAGAAGAATGGGTCTCTGTGCTTTTTAATCAAACACATTTTCACTGGATTAGCGGTTTTAAGATTCTCTGGTACAGTTCTGTGACTGCAGCTATGGTGTTCAGAGGTAACTCCATGAAAAACACTCAGGTTTTTTCTTACAGACAAACATTTTTTCTCCCTTCTCTTGTACTGCAGTCTTCACCCTATCCCCTGAATCTAGGGGATGTTTTCCCCCTAACTCAAAAGTCTGTAAAAATATCAGGGGGAAAACTGGTTTGAAACAGAGAGCTTATTAAAAGAGAGACTCCCATGTCAAGTGTGTCTTAGAGGAAATTGTATTGAAGAGCCCATTACAAGCCTAAATTTGTAAAAGATTAAGTATTGTCTCTCGGTCATCTGAAAAGTAGCATTACATACACTTAAATAGCAAAGCATGTCAAATGTCTAGTTTTTAGAACATCTTGCAAGATGCTTAAATCTCCTGTGCAATTTCTAAAACTTTCAAGAGAGAGATTCCATTTCTTCTGGAGGTTTCTATTAAACACAATTTTGGTCAGAGTGTTATGGTGTGTCTGCAAGCAGACACAAATCTTGGCACTACTTTGCTTTTAAGTGTTCCTGGAAGAAAACAAGGCATCTCTAATACTGATTCCTTCAAAGAAATGGTAATGTTTGTGTGACATCTAATAGCATTTCTTTCCCTTTTTGCAGGAGTATTTCTTCAAATAATTGGGAAAAGTCTTAATAAATACATACAATAAATACAGACTACATCTGCACTACCTGAAGAGCACACAAACATGCTTTCTCTCTTCTCTCTTTCAAAACGTGTGGCCATCTCTTCTTGGCTGGCTTCTTCTTCATCTCTGCACTCCTGCAGCTGCTTCATCTTCTCCATAAGAGCTTCAACTTCACAGACAGACTCTGTGGACTAAAAAGAAGAGAAAGACATTTCATTTTCATGCAACAGGAACTGACAATGATGGCAGTAATTGCCAAGCCAGAAAGTTTAAACACAACTGAAGTCCTTTACATCTTTATTTAAAGATTTTTCAAGGAACACAGTTTTTGAAAGAAACCTGTACTGACACAATGGTTTACATTTAGTCATCATCTTCTCTCAATTAGACCCCTGGTATTTTTAGCATGATTTAAAAATCACAGCATTTTGGAACTAGTTGTTCTCATGCTAAAATTAGTTTCTCTTAGTCTAAATGTTCAGTAACTGAAAAACAAGGAGCTGTAACAGAAATTTTGATAGAGGAAGTAGCCACAATTTACCACCCAACAGTATTTTTCTCCTCCTCTGCTCACAGAGAAGAAACATTGAAGGAAAAAGGAAGGGTGAGTATAAATGCAGATTTAACGAAGCCTCAAAAGAAAGACAGTGCAAGATAATTGTCTTTTACAACAGCTGTTATAACACCTCAAGAATTCAGTAATTGATCTTGTAAACATTCATCATCACCAGAGTAAAATTATCTTTAATTTATACAGTTCTGCCCCTTTCCTCCCTGCCTTTTGCAGTTTGGTCCTTCAGAGAGCCAGCAAGCTTCATCAAACAAATTTAAATGCCACCCACACCACTGCAGTAAAATATCACAGGCAAGGATCTTGCAGTGAGAACACCCTCATGGCTGTTCTTAAACCAACACTTAGTTCACATCATTCTTTTCACCAAGGGAAAACAAGTCCAGATCAGCATAACAGCTGCAGGCAGGAGAGAGTGTTTTAAAGAGAGTCACAAAGTTGTGAATGATCTGTTAAAAATGATCCTTTGTGTGATGCATGACAAACACCTCAAGGCAAAAAAGTCTGAGAGCCTGGACTCAAAGGAAGAGCCAAGTTTCCACTGCACAGATGAAAAATGCATTCCCGGCCACTGCTGCTCAGGACACGTGTTATGAACTAGCTGAGGCTGGGACTCATCTCAGTTCACCTTTATGAATGACAGGCAGAAAAAGAAAACAACAGAGATTGTGTCTGTTTCCCTTTGGTAGCTTTCCCCAGCTTCCCAGTATCATTTCAGCTCCTCCTAAATGCATTTTTTCAATACCCACATCTGGATTAGGCTCATCAATCCCACTCTCAAAAGAATAAAAAGAGACAGGCACCCTCCACGTATTAAGTTTACAAAGACATAACTATTGTTGGAAGAGACTGTTTGTTCAGACAGACACTTACTGGAATACTTGCAGCTGGGCTGGCATGGATTTCATCCACCCCGTGGTAACCATTTGTTATATCACAGATGCAATAGTTACTGACAGAGGGGGGCCTGAAGGTGTGACCCCCTTCACAGTCGATCTCTGGGCTGATCCCACAGCCAAACGTGAAGGAAGCAAGGGAGTGGTAGTGTGTAAGGAGAACGACTGCATGGATCAGCTCTGCCAGGGACCAGCTGTTCTCTTCTGTCTTCAGAAGTTGCTTTAAAAATAATGCAAGACAAAAATATTAAAGTCATTCATTTGACCCCACCTTAATGCAGTTTATCAACACATTTCTTAGTCAGGTAAAATTACTTTTGTGACATCCAAACATGCTTCCTCACTCTGCTGCCATTAGTATGCTCAGTGACCTGCCAGACACAGACCTGCATGGTTATGCCACAAAGGACACAACTTCTCTCCCCTCTGTCCTGGGCAATTGAATAAGTTGGGGTTTCTTTTTTTGCACCAAGTGGTTTCTGTCGAGGCCATACTGACTTGCACTGAAATTTCACACCTCTGATGAAGATGCAACCACAACTGTTGCATGTTTGTTCAAATGGTCTTTACAGCATCAGAAAACCCAGGCAACCCCTTGCAGATCGGCTGTGTAAAAACCTGGCACAGGCTCCCTCCATTTTGTCCCTGTGGGTGGAATGCTCTAGATTTGACAAGAAGCTTCAAACCCCAACTTCCCCTTCAGGCAGGAAAGTGTGGGAGGTTTGGGGCCTTCTGGCAGAGCGTGCGCCCTCCCCGTCCTGCCCCAGCTGGACCTGCCACCACCTCTCACCAGGCCAGGCAGCACAGAGGAAGTCCCAGCACCCACATGCTCCTTGCTTAGGGCACAGAGGAGAGCAGAAGGGGTGGAAGAAGCAGCCCCTTGGTGGTTTGTTGGTGCTGCAGTCCTGGCTGTCCTGTACCACCACCACCCCCCTGGGCAGCTCTGCCAGCCTGCTCTCTCCATCCCACTTGAAAACACAGCAGCAGCAAGCCAGACAAAATGTGGTGGCTGGTGTTCTGTCTAACCTCTGGCAGCAACTCAGAAACACCCAGGGGTTCTGGCTACTGAAAGCACACAGCTTGAGGAGGGAGGTGCACACCTGAGCACACTGTCATTGCACCAACAGAATTCCAGCATGACAGAGAAATTTCAGGGTGTTGTAAATGAAATTTGTTACTCATTTAAGAGCAGTTATGATCCTGTTAGTTTTACATAACAAGGCACAAGTGATACTAGATCATGAAGTGATGTAGCACTGAAATCAAAGTCATTACCACAGAACATCTTTCACCCTGTCTGGCTCTGAATCCAAGAATCTAGGATTGCTTTACGGAACAAAGGGGACATTCACATTACTCTGTGAAAGACCTACCTCGATATGTTCCTTGGTGATAAGCCAGGGTCGGTGAGCCAACATTTTGTTCAGTTCTCCTAAATTTTGCAATTTTTGAGGTGCATTTTCCAGACCATTCAACCATTTCGGGTCTCCACCAACATGAAGGAAGTCATTCACATGGAGGTTAACAAGGTAAGAGCACTGATGTCGTGCTGCAGCCTAAAAAGGAAAACAGTGTGATACAGAAAACAATTAGAGAAAGTTAGTACTTTACGACAAATACCATAAGGCATCATTTCCTCAAAACATCCAAGAATAAGCCTTGCACTGATCAAAGATTCAAGTAAAAGAAGTTTTCTGAAATTAACACATCAGCTTGTTTTGATTATTGTTCTCACAACATAAATATCCCTTGTTGATACACACCATCGTTATGCTGGCTACAGGTGCAACATGCCTATACCCAGGGAGAAATACAGGCATGGATTTATTGCATGTCCTGAAGCAAGTAATCCATACTGCATCCTACACCCCAGGGGGAAGAAGCTGTCTCTAGCTGCATCTTTACCAGCAACAATCAAAGGCAGGTTTCAGATTGCAAATGGCAAGAGAAACTACAGGCAGCTTCTCAGTAAAGAAAAGCCCAGTACCATTTACTCCAACAATTTCTATATCAGATAAAGACAGAGCCCAGAACCTTAATTCAACTTCAGCAAGCAAAGGTCATTGAACTGGCAGATTAAAAATTAGAAAACCACTTTTGGCAGAAAACTCACTCAGAATTTACATATTCAGAAATGCACAATGGGACCAACAATTGAGTTAGGAGAAGTGTATGTGACAGGACACAGATACAAAAACAAGCTTTCTTGAGAAACAGTTTCTGAGATACTAAGGATGCCAAAAACAAACAATTATCTCATTTCTACAGCATGCTTTTCCCCTTTTTCTCAGAGTCCTACCAAATCTATGAACATAAAGTGCCGATCTTCTGAAACCATCTGTAAAGCAGACACCAACAAACCTACTCTGCTTTCCAGCTAGAAACTGCAAAACACAGCAGCAGCTGCTCTGGGGCAGGGCTGGGGCTGGGTGCGTACCATGATCCCGATGTAGTGCCGGTAGTGGAGCGGGAGCGGGCCATCCATCTGCAGCAGATAGTGCTGAGTTTTGAGAAAGCTTTCCAGATACTGCGGGTGGAAAACCATCACCAAGGTGACGTTGTCCAGCCGGCCCAGCGTGGCAAAAGACTCTGCAAACAGCGTGTGCATCGTGGCGTCCTCCTTCCCCACCTGAATTGTCTGATCGGAGAGAAGGAGCAGTGAGCAATATTGTCCAAGTTCCACCAATAAAATAGCAAATAAATACATTACCACAGCACCCAGAGGCCCCAAGTGAAAGGAATTATACTATAAATCTATTAATGACATTAAATCAGTGCACATAAGGCACATTAAGTCCCTGTAATACCTCTCATTTAGGAGATCACAAGTGGTTATACCAGCAAAAGGAGATTTTTGGCTTTAGTCTCTCTCTAATATAACGCTGACTTCTCATTTTTAACTGTCTCACCTTCACTTTCTTGAATACCCCAGGCTGATCTTAGTTAATTATAACTAAAAGCTAATTGAATCATCACTTTTACTATGGGAAAAAGAGGGAACGAAGTGAAAAGCTGGCTAAGAGAGAAAAAAACAGGAAATTGAAAAAGACTAAAACTCCTAGAAAACCACAGGCATATTACTAACTTTTCCTCTACTCCAAATTCTCTTACCAGACAATCAGGAGATAAGCAGCAGAAATGCTCATCCAAAGCACTCTGAACCTTCTCAGATTCTTCAGAGTGGTAGAGGCAGCTCAAGAAAAAGCAATCCCAGAGCAGAGGGGCAGGTACCTTGTGGACCAGTAGGAAATTACATCCGGATGTTCACAAGGAAACAGTATTGGGTTTCTCTCATACTAGATAGCAGCATGGGAGGGGTCATAACTATTCCAAAGCTCCCCAAGGCTCTCACTGTTCTGTACACTAGAACTGTGGCCAAAGTCTCAGGACTGAATGTGATACCACTCCTGAAAATGTTTTGCAGATCAGCAGCTGTCCTGAAACCACTGTGGGCTACTACTATAAAATGATGTTC